AGCATTGGCCTGATTTGGTAGCTAGTGACTATGAGTCACTTAGATATTTAGGTGTCCTGTTTATTATCATGTTAATGATGGTAAATTGAATCTGAGAAAGGCAGTCTTTGTGGGATTTAGAGATGGAGTTAAATGCTTTAAGTTATGGCATCGACAAGACAAGAAGATAGTTGTTAGCAGGAATATCACATTTGATGAGGTGTACATGATGAGGCATCAAGTTCCTCGACAAGTAGAGGAAGACCAGATTCGAGAGATATCGCAGCAGGTGGAGGATGATGTGACTCCACCCACTCCAGATAGCATTGTATCCATTGAGGCTCCTACAAAGATGACACTGGGAGGAGATGGGATGACAGCCAGACAGATAGGGGATACAGTGGATTGTAAAACTCAGGAGTAGGGTCATGTTCATGAGTCTATTATAGCATATAGACCTATAAGGGTGATTCGTCGGCCAGCTAGATATAATGATGTCATAGTCACATATGTATTATTAGTGAAGGTTGTTGATGATATGGTTCCATCCATATTTAGGGAGGCAGAGTCTAACCACGATTCGATTAGGTGGAGGGAAGCTATGGATGAGGATATGCGATCTCTTCAGAAGAACGACACTTAGGAACTTATAAGGCTACCTAAGAGGAGGAAAGCTATTGGTTGCAAGTGGGTATATGCGAAGAAAGGTGGATCTTCTATTGGGGACATTAGGTACAAAGCCAGATTGGTTGCCAAGGGGTATGCACAACTTGAGGATATTGATTACAACAAGGTATTTTCTCCCATTGTAAAGCATTCATCGATTCGGATTTTATTAGCATTGGTGGCACAGCTGGATTTAGATTTGGTCTAGATAGATGTGAAGACAGCCTTTCTACACAGAGTATTAGATGAGGAGATCTACATGACACAACCATTGGGATTCAAAACTATAGGAAAAGAAGATTTGGTGTGCATGCTAAAGAAGTCTCTTTATGGTTTGAAGCAATCTCCGCTACAGTGGTACAAGAGATTCAATAGCTTCATGATTGGCCATGGGTACACGATGAGCTCATATGACCCGTGCGTTTACATACACAAGCTACAGAATGGTGAGTACATATATTTGCTATTATATGTTGATGATATGCTTATTGCTTTTAGAAATTCTTCGCTATTCGAAAGTTGAAAAAGGAACTATCATCCCACTTTGAGATGAAGGATCTTAGAGAAGCAAAGAAGATATTGAGTATGGAGATCGAGAGAGAGATAGGGTGAAGGGGAGATTGAAGCTTACATAGAGGAGTTACTTGCAGAAGATGTTGAAGAAATTCAGCTTTGATGGTAATGCAAAAGAAGTTAGCACTCCATTGGCTCTCCACTTCAAACTTTCAGCTAATATGTCACCTGTTTTAGTTGAGGATAGAGATTATATGTTGAAGATTTCATATGCCAGTGCAGTAGGTAGCTTGATGTATGTGATGATGTGTACGAGGCCAGATTTATCACAGGCCATGAGCATGGTATCGAGGTACATGCATGACCCCGGAAAGGGTCATTGGGAGGCTGTGAAGTGGATTCTACGGTATGTTATAGGCACCGTGGATATTGGATTGATTTTCCAGAAGAGTGAGAAGAATGGGCAGGATTGTATTGGTTACGTGGATTCAGACTATGCGGGGGATCTTAACAAACGTTGGTCTACTTTAGGATATGTGTTTACATTGGCAGGAGCACCAGTTTGTTGGAGATGTACACTTCAGTCTACAGTTACTCTCTACTACAAAGGTGGAGTATATGGCGGTGACTAAAATTATGAAGGAGGCTTTGTTCTTACATGGATTGTTGGAGGACTTGGGGATTGCACAGGAGACCCTTCGGGTATATTGTGATAGCATGTCGGCTATCTATTTGGCAAAGAACCATATTTATCATGCACACACGAAGCATATTGATGTCAGATTCCACTTTGTTCGTGATGTTTTGGATGATAGAGACGTCATATTGAAGAAGATCCACACAAAGAACAACTCTGCGGATATGTTGACCAAAGTTGTTTTCGGTGTGAAGTTTGGTCACTGTTTGAAACTATTGAGCATTCTTCAATGTTGAGGGCTTTTGGAGGCCATTTGGGTGAACTACGTTCAACTTGATTCCTTGGGCAATATGATACGTAGGTAGTCTTTCAAATAAAGCCGGTTGGATTTGTTGATTTCAATGGGGGGAAGATTGTTTGAGCTCTCGTTTAGGTTCCCGACTTGTTATGGATTGAGTCCGTTATCGTGGGTAGATTCTACTTCGTACTAGACGCAACAAGTGGGACATATGGATGATTTGGTGTCGGCTCAGTTTTGGGAGAAACTTTGCCGATGTGGAGATTTGTTGAGAACTCAAAAAATGAAACAGAAAAACTAGATTTTCTGTCATAAGTCGACTCATGCACATACATAAGTCGACTTATGGCAAGTCGACTTATGTCCGTGCATGAGTCGACTTACGTTCTGCCTTCTAGTTGTCAGTTTCATCTCGGTCAAGTCGACTTATGGACACTGTTAAGTCGACCTACGTTCTGCTCTCTAGTTGTTGTTTTGCGCTCTGTCAAGTCGACTTATGCCGACTGTTAAGTCGACTTATGGTAAGTCAACTTGTTCCCTCTGATAAGTCGACTTACGACGGTTTTGCAGGCTGAGTTTGGTTTCCTGTTTGGATTCTGTTTGGGTTTGATATAAGTAGGAATATGTTGACTTCTAGGGTTTAAGCAAGGACGTTTTGAGCAGTCTTTGAGAGGAGATTGTTGCATCCAATTGTGGGAGAGTTGTGAGAGATCTAGAGGCTTTGTTTTAGGGTTTATTTGGTGAGATTTGTAACCCTATTTGTATTCTCTTGATTTCTAATCGTAAGAACTCCCCCTCCTTGCCCCGTGGACGTAGGCAACTTGCCGAACCATGTAAAATTCGTTTGTCTTGTTGTGGTATTGTGTTTGGCTTATTTGTTATGATTTATCCCGTTCTTGTTCATGTGGTTTCGAGCTTCCGCCGCGCACAACAGATATAAAGTTCACAAAATAATTTGGTCATATCATACAAGAGGTGTTTAAATATAACAAAAATTTTCAAATCAGAGCCCATTATATGTTCACGGTATCTAGAAAGTTAAAGATTCCATCCTTAGATTATCAAATTTTACTTCAAATTCATTAATCTAATAGTCAAAACTTATATGTTCACCGTATCGGAAACGTTAAGATTCCATCTCTAAATTATCAAAATTGACTTTAAATTTATTAATCTAATGATTAAAACAGTTTCAATTGTAGGATCATACATAGCCAAATTCTATCTTTCCATCCCAAAACCTAGACGTTGTTTGTTCCTTTACTGTCACAACAATTACAATTAAGACGACAACTTTTCTTTCTACTACACTCATCAATACGCCCAGACAAATAGTTGTCCGCATTCTAGGCTGTTGATTCCAGGCCAAAACAGACAAAGATAACGAGTGGCTTATGAAAAAAGATCAAGTGAATGATGCATAATGCTCCGTACGCATAAAAAAATCCCACGACACATGTTTTTCTCGTACTCATGAAACACGAGGCTAGATATCTCAAGTTAGTATTCGTGGTAAGATTATGGACGTTTGCGAAGATTTCACAGAGCCCCCTTAAATTTCGTAGTCTTTGACATAAACCCACTAAACTTTAGAAATGTCACTTACTCCTCTTATGTTTTGCCAGCTAACTCCACCAACTAATTACACTGGTTGATCTAACTGTGCACGTAAAAATCACGTGCGTCCAAATGACCAAAATGTCCATGATGGAAAAGAAAATCCCTTTCTCGTTTTTCTTTCTTTTAATAATTGTGAGGGTAATTTTCACACAACCCCTCAAACTCTGGTCCAAGCTTGGTCCAATTTTGACCAAAATGTGCTCAATTGATAAATTCAATTCAATTTAATGAGAGCATTGCTTTGAAAAAGAGTATTTGGTCTTTTTACTAGTTGATCTAACACCATAAGAGGGGTCAGTTGAAAAAAGTGAAGACGTTTTGGGTTTTTTTCGTAAGATCCCAAACATAAGAGGGTTAAGTGAGATTGTTAAAGTGCAGGGGGAATATGTAAAAATACGCCAAACTCAAACTTAGGGGCTGTTTGGTTGTATGTTTTTACCATGTAAAAGGATGGAAAGTGTAAAAAAGTGGGTCCCAATGTCAGCTTTCATCACTTTCAATTGTTTATTTGTAGTTGTGAAAATAGTGTAAAGTGATTTCATATGCTGATGTGGCTTGTAAAGTGATTTCATAAAAAAAAGACATGATTTTAGGAGAAAGCTGACATTGAAGTCAGGAAAAAATAATAAAAAATAATTCCAACCAATATGATCATTTGAGTAGGGACCAATTTTTACACTTTCCAAACAAACAATTAAAGTTACATTTACAAACCAAACAAGCAATTTATGATTCCAATGGAATAAAAAACAAACAAAGAAAAATATAAAAGTAAAATTGATGAGGTGGACAACAACTTTCTAATTTGTGTCATAAATACACAACTTTACCAACAACAACCAAACAACCCCTTACTCTTGTGCTTTGTTTAGGAGTTTACTTAAAGAAAGGCACTGAAAGTTAAATAATGGAAAGGCAAAAGAGGGAATGGAAGTGAAAAGAAAAAATGTTGTTTGGGAGTTTAATAAGGGAAGCAGAAGTAAATTTGGTTTACCTTGTTTGGGAGTTCTAATAAAGATGAGGGAAGTGAAGTGAATATGTATAAAGTTACATAAATACCCTTACATATTGGATGTGAATTTATCTTAGCCATTGATTTTAATGTTTTAATGATATAATTGTCTTATCACATTGTAAAATTTTATATTGGTTTCATTCCATCCTCTACCACAAATTGGAGGGGAGGAAAATGAAAGGAAATTCAACCTTCCATTCCATCCTCTAACCCCTAAAAAAACTCCCAAACAAGGTGAAATTTCACTTTTAACCCCCATCCATTAAGCCCCATCCAAACAAGGTGTTGATATTTCCTCTATAAAATTTGAACCACTTGTGTAATAGATACTGAACTTAGCTTGAGTTTAATTCCGAGGATCTCCAATGGCTCTTCAAGTGAGTGGTACAGGCTTTGGTTTGATCCATGGCAGCAGAGGAGGGTTTAGAGTCCGAGGTGTCGCATCGGAAAGCATGCCAGCGAAAAAAGTGGAGGGCGGGAAGGTGAAGTTGGGGGGGACGGAGGTGAAGGTGACAAAGCTTGGGATTGGAGCTTGGTCATGGGGTGATACTGGTTACTGGAATGACTCTCAATGGGATGGTAATTGATTATACTCGATGATTTTGCTCAGATGTCAAAATTTTGGGTAATACCTGATCTATCTGAATTTTCTGCGTTATGTTTGGTATATCATTTAGATCGGGCGCTTCTTCCTTCAAAGGAGATGATATATAGTTTCTGCTTCATAATCATAATTGTAAGATAACTTCAGATAAAAAGTAAAAATTTCCCTTAAAGTTTTTCTCCAAAAAAAAAAAAAAAAAAATCCCTAACAAAACTTATGAAAGGAAACTCTGGCTGTAAATTTTCAGTTGTTGCTCAAAAAGAGTTAATTGCGTATAGACCCCCTCTATTGTGGTTCTTTTGAAAGTACTACCCGTGTATTTTCTTTGTTTTAGATAGAATCGCGGATTTTTTTTTTCTTTTGCCCTCGGATAGACACATTAATTTCACCTTGAGAGAGTACCTGCTGAAAGTTCACCAAGGGCATACTCAATCCAGGGGTCTATCTGCAACAACAAACCATATGAGTAGTAAGTTGGAATTGGTGGTACTACAAGGGGTCTATGTGCTATTAACCCTAATTTGTTTATCAGTGTTTAACGTAACAGAGTGGCCATACAGCACATTTTATTTTCAAGGGGTTTTCAGCTTTATTTATGGTTGAATTATTACTAAAAACTCCAAATTGCAAATGTTTAATTTACTTAACTGCTTCCATATTTTAACCACTAAGACAGATAGGAAGCAAAAGGAAGCAAAGGCAGCTTTTGATGCAAGTATTGATGGCGGCATAACCTTGTTTGACACAGCTGAAGTCTATGGTGCAGGGGTACATATAACTTCCATCAACTGAAAATTTTTTCATACCACAAGTCAAAATGTCATGATATTTTCCTCTCTGCAGATAATGATGGGGGCAGTGAACTCTGAAACTTTACTTGGCGAGTAAGCTCCTGTTTGATAAACTTCTTATCCTAATCTGTGAACATATTTACTATTTTTTTTTGGGGGCAGTTTCATCAAAGAGAGGAAGAAAAATGATTCAGTTGAGGTTGCAGTCGCGACGAAATTTGCAGCTTTGCCATGGAGATTTGGCCGAGGAAGTGTTCTCTCTGCTCTCCAAGCTTCATTATCTCGCATTGGTCTCTCCTCTGTTGATCTCTATCAGCTCCATTGGTCAGCTCGCAAATTCTTTTTAATATTTCTTCTTCAAATTAGTTTACAATTTATAGTAACAAATTCGATGTTTGGTGATAATTTTCAGGCCTGGTTTTTGGGGGAATGAAGGTATAGCTAGACTCAATTTCTTTTTCTACTTTAAATTGATTGGTTAATTGCAGATAGACCCCCTGCGGGTCTATTGTTGCAGATAGACTCCTGGAGTGAAATCTTTGACTTTTTTTATCCTCGGTAAATCTACTTGTCAAAAGAACAAATATCTCTTTCTCTGAGGGTGAAAAAGTCAAAAGTTTTGGCTCTCAATTTATCTGCAACAAATAGAACTTCGGGATCTATCCGCAATTAACCCTAAATTGTTTAATGCAGTCCTTCAATGCATTGCCAATATGATTCAGGATATATTGATGGCCTTGGAGATGCTTTTGAGAAGGGACTTGTAAAAGCTGTTGGGGTCTCAAACTACAATGGTAATTAGCCAATTAAATTTGTGCTTATGTGCTTTCTATAATAGAAATTATTAATATTTTTTGTTGTGTGAACCAGAAAAACAACTTAGAGATGCTTATGCTCGGCTGAAGAAGAGAGGAATACCTTTAGCTGCAAACCAAGTAAATTACAGTTTGATATATAGAAATCCTGAGATTAATGGTGTGAAGGCTACTTGTGATGAACTAGGAATCACTCTGATTGCTTATTCTCCAATGGCTCAAGGTATTAATTTTTTCTTCGTTAAATTCATATATATTTTCGTTTATTTACTTCTGCTAAAATTAGTTTGAAGAATATTTTTAGCTTGTTTAAACATGGTAATCGACTGCCGTCCTCTGTATGGTTTTGATCATTCATTTAGTGTGTCAACTTTTTTATCAACAAATTGCTTCATCTCTAAAGTTTGGTTGCTTATGTTCTAATATCTAGGACAATACATGCCATATCTTTGCTCATTCATTTCTACATCTCTAAAACTTCAGGTATTCTTACTGGAAAATACACTCCAGAGAGACCTCCTACAGGTCCTAGGGGCAAAGTATACACTCCTGAGTACCTCACTAAGGTAAGAAGATTGTTCACAGTTTTTCTTGTGTTTTATTTTATCATCTTATTTAGCTTACTTTTTTCTGAATTTCTCCTTCTATGTACACAGTTGCAACCTCTGATGACCAGAATCAAAGAGATTGCACAAAATTACAGCAGATCTCCAACCCAGGTTCTATATCTTTCATCATTAACAATAGGCTTAATGTTGATGAATTTCTCCGAAGAGTACTTAACTGGTTATCATTTTCTTAACCTGGCAGTTTATTGTTCATTAATCGAGTTTGACGTATTCATAGTCTACTACTATCACAGCTCAATTTGTTAGCTTTATCATAGCACAATTTGATCTTCTTTTTTTTCCTCTTTACTGAAAAACTTTACGATTAAAGATCTATTGACATTAGTTATCCTCCTTTTTTTTCTTTTCTTTTTTAACTGCAGGTGGTTTTGAACTGGTTAACATGTCAGGATAATGTAATACCTATCCCTGGAGCAAAAAATGCAGAACAGGCTAAAGAATTTGTTGGTGCTCTTGGATGGAGACTCACTGATGAAGAAGTTGAAGAGCTCAGATCACTGGCAGCACAAATACCTCCTGCTACTGGACTCCCCTTCGAATAAATGTTAAGCAATCTTATGCAAAGAATTAAAAATAATATTGAAAGAGGCAGAAAAACTCTATGGTTGCATTCATTGAAAGCATGACATGAACAATGTACCATTACCAATACCTATACGCTATTTGATAATAATTAAAATTTCAATTCTAGAATTTTCATTTCCAAAAATCACTGTTTGGAAAGAGTTGCCGATTCTAGAGAATTTTCAATCCAGATTTTTCGAAGCTGGCAGAATTTAATTTCTAAACTAGTGAACCAAACGGTATATTACACCCAACGCAATGTTATCAACATCCAAATTCTTTATGAACATCTACTGCTACTATATTGAGCGGATCAAAGTTTAAAAGCTCTAATATATATAGAAGTCAATAACTAGAATATATACCTAATACAATGCTAACAACTAAGATCACCACCAAAACACAGTACAAACCTAGTTGAACTTTCCTACACATTTCACCATCTCCCTACGCACGCAGTCGAATCTCTAAGACATATCGAAATCCATCCTAACGTATCGTCGTCGGGAAGAAGATCCTTCAGCATTTGAAACTCAGCGACAGTACCATCCATGAACCTATTAACAGCTTTCAAAACTTGATTTGGATGAACACCCGGCACTTCAGATACCTCAACATATATATCTCGGCCACTACGTATTCGTGCCTCTGAACTTTTCTCTTCTACCTAATCACCTAAAACCATAACGTCTTCCTCACCGGAGATTCCATTGCCACCACCTCCTCTGACCTCAGGCTCCGCCGCCTCCTCTCTCCCCTGTTAGGATTCACCCCAATAATAACGCCTCGAACAGAGACTTAATCACAAAATAAAGGCACAAAATTCAACACAGAGTACTCACAGATATACGTGGTTCACTCCTTCGGAGCTACTCCACGGTGCAACGACGACGCCAAATTCTTTTATATCCCAAAAGAATTGATCCAAGAGAACACCCTCTCTTGATCAGATACACTCCAAGAACTCTCACAAACTCTCTCTTTGTTTTCTCTTACTCTTCTATAAGAGGAGTTGTTTCTGGGATGAGATTTTCTTAAGAGTTTAGGGCCCTATTTATAGTGTTTGAGAAACACTATGCACAAATAAAATATTATTAGTGGGACCCGCCATTAATAATATTTTACTGTGGGACCCACCACCTTTTTTATTTTTCTCAAAAATCGGCCACCGAATTCTCTAATGTTCAACAAAGGCTGCTGGGGGTCAACAAAGGCTGCTGGTTAACAATCTCCCACTTGAAGATTTGATTGAATATCAATCATATCTTCACACCATTCTTGGTAGCATCATCCGGATGTCTTGTATCTTTGGCGTCTTGCACGACCCTCAACATTCTCAACGGAGGCCATATGAGGCTGCACACAGCCTCACCTTCTCGAGCGGAACTGGCTTGGTCAGCATATCAGCTGGATTATACCCCGTATCAATCTTCACAAGCTTGAACTCGTTCCTGCTTTGCCATCTCCGTATGGCATGGTGCTTCACGTCAACATGTTTGGTCCGAGCATGGAATGCGTCGTTCTCTGACAAGTGAATGGCACTCTGACTATCACAATGGATGAAATATTTCTCAAAGCTTACTCCAAGCTCGAGAAGAAAAGCCTTCAACCATAGCAACTCCTTTGCTGCCTCTGCTGCAGACACGTACTCGGCTTCGGTTGTCGACAAAGCCACAGTATCCTGTAACTTGGATCTCCAACTTATCGCTCCACCACCCAAGATGAAGATGTAGCCGCTCGTGCTCCTTCTTGAATCTATATCCCCTGCGTAGTCTGCATCACAAAAGCCCTCTAGCTGCAAATCTGCCCCGCCATACTCAAGACAACGGTCGGACGAGCTTCTCAAGTAGCGTAGAAGCCACTTGACCGCACCCCAGTGTTGTTTCCCTGGATTGCTCATAAAGCGGCTCACAACTCCTACTCCTTGTGCAATATCTGGCCTCGTGCACACCATCGCATACATCAAACTCCCGACGACAGATGCATATGGTATGTTTGCCATGAACTCGTGCTCTTCAGCAGTCTCTGGTGCTTGGGTCTTCGATAGCTTGAAATGACTTGCAAACGGCGAGCCCACCGGTTTAGCTTTCTCCATGCCAAACTTTTCAAGAATCTTCTCAATGTAGGCCTTCTGAGACAACCTCAGCCTCCGTGCTGATCTGTCTCTGATGATCCTCATCCCCAGAATCTGGTTTGCTGGACCCAGATCCTTCATCTCGAAGCACTCGGAGAGACGCCCCTTGAGTTCCTCAATGCGGGCCAAGTCGGGCCCTGCAATCAACATGTCATCAACATAAATCAAGAGTATTACATAAGATTCACCATATCTCTTGATAAAGCAGCAGTGGTCTGTGTCGCATTTGAGAAAACCGTTCTCCTCCATAAAGTTCTCGAACTTCATGTACCACTGTCGTGGAGCTTGCTTCAGGCCATACAAGCTCTTGTGCAGACGACATACGAGGCCCTCCCTGCCTCGTTCCTCGAAGCCCACTGGTTGATGCATATAGATTTCTTCCTCCAGATCTCCATGAAGGAATGTCGTCTTCACATCCATCTGTTCTAGGTGGAGATCTTGAACTGCTACAATGCTCAGCATAGTTCGGATCGTGGTCAACTTGACGACGGGAGCGAAAACGTCAGAATAATCAATCCCTGCTTTCTGTTCATAGCCCTTCACTACAAGCCTCGCCTTGTAGCGTCTCCGTCCATCGGCTTCATCCTTGACCCGATAAATCCACCGATTGTGAAGAGCCTTTCGCCCTCGTGGAAGCTTTACAAGCTCCCAAGTCCCATTCTTCATCAAGGACTTCATTTCTTCCTCCATGGCAGACTCCCACTTGCCGCGAGCTTTGCCGGTCTGTTGTACCTCCTCATATCTCTCTGGCTCACCATTGTCAGTCAGGAGAAGGTAATTCATTGTGGAAAGGTACCTCTCTGGCACCCTTGGATTTCTTGGAGCTTTGCGAATTGCGATCGGCAACTCTGCTGGATCCTGCTGCTGTGCATCCCGCATGTTCTCTTGGTCTCCGTCTTCTATGCTGATTGGTATCTCACCGCCGTCCTCACTGTCAGCAATATCTGGGAAAAGAGGGGGAGATAGCTGACTCCCACTCACCTCTTTGGTCTTGTACACAACATTCTCATGGAACACGACATCACGACTGCGCACCACCTTGCGCGCATCGTGATCCCAGAAACGGTACTCATACTCATCTCCTCCATAGCCGATGAAAGAGAGCTTCTTTGACTTTGGATCAAGCTTTGACCGGTCTGCAGGATTGGTCATGACATAGGCGTCACAACCAAATACTCGTAAGTGCTCTAGCTTCAGCTTCTTTCCGGTCCAAGCCTCTTCAGGTATCCCATAATTGAGAGCCGCGGATGGCCCGCGGTTGATCAAGTATGCAGCAGTATTGACAGCTTCAGCCCAAAAGCTCTTGGGCAATCCGGAGTGGATCCTCATACTTCTGGCGCGCTCCAAGATAGTGCGATTCATGCGCTCCGCCACTCCGTTGTGCTGAGGTGTGCCTGGGACGGTCTTCAGTCTCCGAATCCCACGGGACGAGCAGAAGTTCTCGAACTCCTGGCTGCAATACTCGCCTCCATTATCAGACTTTAGGCACTTCAGCTTATTGCCTGTTTCGTTCTCCACACAGGCAAGCCACTTCTTGAAGATGATGAATACATCTGACTTGTGCTTCAAGAAGAACACCCACAATTTTCTCGTAGCATCATCAATAAAAGTGACAAAGTAAAGAGAGTTACCAACAGATGGGACTTGCGCAGGTCCCCACACGTCGGTGTGCACCAACTCCAATTTCTGCAGTTTTGGAGCCGGTCCGGTCTTGTTGAAGCTCACCTTCTTTTGTTTGCCTAGGATGTAGTCCCCACAGAAAGTCAGATCGATCTTGTTCAGACCCGGAAGCCTCTCTCCCGCGGCCATAATGTGCATCCCCTTCTCGCTCATGTGACCAAGTCGTCGATGCCAAGTCATGCAGTCGACGGATGATGATGATGATGCTTGTCCTGCGGCAAGCAAGTGGTCGATCTTCCCGTTGGTGATGTAGAGAGACCCCTCGCGTTTGTCGTGTGCCACCACCAGGGCACCCTTGGACACCTTCCAGCTTCTCTGCTCGAAGGATACTCTGTAACCGGAGTCAGTCAGTTGCCCGACTGATATAAGATTTCGCCTGAGATCTGGTACATGCCGAACATCATTCAGCGTCAAGGTGGTCCCGCCCTCCATCTTGAGGGTACAATTTCCCTTCCCGGAAACCTTACAAGGTTGATCGTCGCCAAGATAGACTGTCCCCAAGTCCTTCTTCACGAACGATGAAAGCAGCTTTTGTTGTGAGGTTGCATGAAAAGATGCGCCAGAGTCGATGACCCACGCATCACTTTTGTCTTCTAGGGATAGGAGAAGTGCATCCGAATCCGTCTCGTGCATGAGATTGGCTGCACCGTCAGCCCGATCATCCCCTGCTGATGCTTGAACAGTAACTCTGCAGTCCCGTGCAAAGTGGCCCTTCTTTCCGCATCTGAAGCACTTCCCTTCACCGTAACCATTCGGGTTAGGCTCTTTAGACTTCCCTCTGGATTTTGATTGGCCTCGTCGTCCCCTACCCTTCTTCTGTGCACGCCCTCGTGCCTCGACATGCAGAGCACTCCCACTGCTAGAGGCCTCAGCTCCTGAGACTTTGCGGCGAGATTCTTCATCCAGAATTGCCCCAACCACTGTGTCGAGCTTCATCTTGTCATTGCCATTAGCGTTGCTCACCGCCATTACCATATTCTCCCATGAATCTGGTAGACAAGAAAGTAGCAGAAGAGCTTGGATCTCGTTGTCGAACTTTAGATCTACTGCAGCAAGCTGTTGCACCACAGCCTGAAATTCGTTCAAGAAGTCCGCCACGCGAGCTCCTTGCTGCATCTTGAGGTTGAATAGCTTCTTCATCAGGTACACCTTATTTGAAGCAGACGGCTTCT